CCAATGCAATCGCCAAAAGTCGACGATTCACAAGTTACTCGTTAATTGGGCTATATTTACTATATTAGTAAGAGAAAAAAGAGAAACACACAGCTTATTACCCATTGGTCGTTTGGTTCACTTGTCAAACGATTAAGATTTACGGCTGTGATAGAAACGACGATTGATATCCAATGCAATCGACAAAAGTCGACGAATCCCAATAATATTTAGATTTATCATATTACATTTTTTCTACGCTATTGCCCGAATTTCTACTGGGCACTTAAATATTTTAAGCCATTTAAAAAGTGTTATGTTGAAAGAAACTTAATGACTATATTATATGTAATAACACCAGTAAAATTTTTTTAAATTTTTTTTGCTGTCAAAGCCCAGTGGAAATTCAGCATAAAAATCCATCCAAATGATGCCATTTAAATAGGTGTGTTTATGTATTCTCCAGTTACTTGAGAGTAACTTGACTTCCGAGATTTCGTTCTCAAAGCGAAAAATATCAAAAACAAAGTACGTGAAAGTATAACGATTTTCGAATACGAAAAAACCTATTGATAACAAATCTAGTATTCAGGGTTGAATTCACCATCCAATCTATTTATTTTCGCTTTTAGGTCATGCTCAAAGAAGACGGCAAAAGCAAGGGCTTTGGATTTGTCGCTTACGAGACCACCGAGGCAGCTGAAGCAGCTGTCGATGCACTGAACGGCAAAGACATGGGCGATGGTAAAGTTTTATATGTTGCACGTGCTCAGAAAAAGGCTGAACGCCAGCAGGAACTTAAACGCAAGTTTGAAGAACTGAAGAAGAAACGTCAAGAATCTGTCTATGGCGTCAATTTATATGTTAAAAACTTGGACGACAGCATTGACGATGAACGTCTGCGCAAGGAGTTCTCAATGTTCGGCACCATTACATCTGCAAAGGTCATGACAGATGAAGAGGGCCGTTCAAAGGGATTCGGCTTCGTTTGCTTTATTTCGCCAAATGAAGCAACCTGCGCCGTAACTGAACTAAATGGACGGGTAGTTGGATCGAAGCCACTGTATGTTGCCTTAGCTCAACGCAAGGAGGACAGAAAAGCACATCTGGCATCGCAATACATGCGTCACATGTCTGGCATGCGCATGCAACAACTGGGACAGATCTTCCAACCCAATGCTGCAGGAGGATTCTTCGTACCTACCATGGCGCCAGGACAGCGCTTCTTTGGTCCACAAGTCACCCAACCCATTCGGAACACACCGAGGTGGGCACCACAGGTGCGCCCTGCCGCTGGTGTACAAGGCGTTGCACAAGCCGGAGCTGCAGCAGCCGCTGCTGGTGGCTTCCAAAACGCCGCCGCCATGGCTGCCACCGGCACTGCTCAGTTCCGCCCGGCAGCAGCAGCAGCACGAGGCCAGCCTCAAGCAGTCCAGGGCGCACATGCAGCAGCTGCCGCTGCCAACACAATGCGCAATACCGGCGCTCGCGCTATCACTGGCCAACAAGCCGTTGCCGCGGGCAATATCCAAATGGCTGGAGCTCCAATTGCCGCGGGCGGAGCTCAACAACGCGCTGCCAACTACAAGTATACAGCTAACATGCGTAATCCACCTCCACAGCCCGTTCAGCAACAGCCTCAAGTGCAGCCACTGCACCAAAAGGGTGAGTTACTTTGATTTACCTCATGAAAAGGCGTCGAAGGGAAATAAATTAATGCGTGAATATGATTTTTTAATATTTCAGGTCAAGAAAAGTTGATTGCTTCTTTGCTAGCCAATGCCAAGCCACAGGAACAAAAGCAAATTTTGGGAGAACGTTTGTATCCAATGATCGAGCGCATGCATCCTTTGATGGCCGGCAAGATCACCGGTATGTTACTGGAGATTGAAAACTCTGAGCTGTTGCACATGCTGGAAGATCAAGATGCTTTGAAAGCCAAAGTTGAGGAGGCCGTTGCTGTGCTACAAGTCCATCGCGTCACTGAGCCAACTAACTAAGTGCGCAAGTGAAGAAAAACTTCTAAGAAAATTCATACAATTTCAAACGAACGAGAAAAAGTTCAATAACTTTAAAAATTGACTATTGCTAAAACACAACATCAAATATTAGTTACACACTTTTAGCTCAAAACAAAATTGAACAAAAAGTAAAAAATAATGCCACTCATTCGATTCCGATTTCGTGTGAAAGTGGGGTGCAGATTTTTTATTCATGGATAATGAGAACCATTCCAAGATCGTAACACCTTTGTAACATTTGTTAAAAATCGATTAGCCAACCTTCAACTTTTATAATTTTTCCACATAATTAATTCTTACACTTTTTCGCTCCTAATTTCAGTTTAATATCTTTTCAATTCAACCAATCAAAATGCAGATATTTTTACATTCAATATTTAACATTCGGCGAGATTCTCGAGTTATTTTAAAGGCTCCGAGCGCATCATTTCTGAATATAACCCTGAAAATATAAGAAAATCCACTAGAAATTCGGTCGAAGCCAAAAGGGGAACAGAAAGAAAATTCAAAACAAGAACACAAAAGGCCGCTCGCAGAAAAATTGAACATGGAAATTCCTTGTTATAAATTATTCAAAGCTGAAACCATCGAAGCTAGGCCACGAACGGATTCTAAAACTCAAGATTGAATTCGAATTCTAACTTCTTTTAATTACCCATTATAAACACGCAACAACAACTTAACCCAACTCAAATAAGCATTGCAAACAAATTTTCATATTTTTCACTTGAATAAAAATTTGTTTTTGTCATTTACACGAAGTATGCATTTTTTGAGAAAGAAAGTAAAAAAAGATCATAAGGCAAGCGAGTTTAATACTTTGAAATCGTATAAATTTAGTGGAATCCATAATTTATTAGAGTGACAAGCTTAGGAAAAGAAAAATAATATATAAAAGAAAAGACTAACAAAAAAATTGCAAAAGCATTGAAAAATTGAAAAAATTCCGTGTGCGGTTGAAACCCGTAAAAATGTGCATGAACTCAAAGGTAGCTGCATTGCACTCGCTGAAGAAGTAAGCAAACTAGCAACAATCTGCGGATAGAATTTGCGTGTAAAAGTAAGTGAAAGTTGAAGAGGGCGAAAAAGTTTAATGATTTTTTGCTACTTTAAACAAATAAAATTATAAAAAGAAAAAAAATAGAAAATCAGACACATTTGCTGATAAACAGAACATAAAAAAACCTAAACATATTAAAAAAAAAACAAAAAAATTGCAAAATTTATACAAAAACTCGAACCAGAAAAACAGTATGCATACAGAATAAAAACAAAAAAAACTGAATTAAAAATATACATTTTTATCAAAAGTAAAATTAGTAAAATTCAAAATTGAATTGCGAATATTTCCAAGTGCACACGAATAAACACATATGTAAATACGTATGAGACAGTTGCTAACCATATTTTCGTATGTGTTTATCCAAATTAGTTTTTGGTGTGCAAATTAAGAGATAAAATGTCAAAATCAAGTAAACAAATTTAAATAACAAAAATATTATAACCAAAAAGTTAAATCAATTAAATACACACATACTTACATATATTCAACTTTAGCTGGTGAAATCAAAGTAAAATACAAAAATAAAAAACATTTGGCATGCAAAGCTGCGTTTATTTTAGAAGGTCCCAAAATAAAACAAAAGAAAAATGGGTTAAGTTGAACGGAATATTTGCTGATAAATTATGAAGCATACGTACATACATTTGCATAAAGCGTATATGTACATCCAGATGCATATATATAAAGAAACAAAGTTCGCCTAACTGATTTGAAAAGTTTCTGGAAGAAACAAATTTCAAACAGCATCACATGCATAAATTTGTATTATTTGATTATTCATATACATATATATTTTTATTACATGTAATTCATATAATTTCCAACAATATCAAAGACAAATGTTCCAGCGCCTAATTCTTTAAAATAAATGTGTCCGGCGACAAAAAAGAAATGTTTAATTTAGTCTTACAAAAATTTTAATGGTGTACAGCAGAACGTCGGTATGATGAAGCTCATGGCTGAGGGAAGAAGCCGGTGATTTTTGATATAGCTACATAGGACGACAATTTAGTAGACTAAATAATCTGAGACTTCTAATCGGGGGGTTTCATTCGGGTTTCCACGGTTTAGATGAGGCTGGCTTTCCACTAACATACTGAATGTACAGTATCGGTTATATTATTAGCACCCCAATTTCAAAGTGATATATTTGCCACTTGTGTTCATTAATTTTTTCCAGATTATTATTTTTTTAGTACAGTTTTACATCAACACCTATTCAATTTCGACCTATTAATGTGCAAGGTTCAAGTGGCTAAAAATCACCGTAGATTTTTTAGTTTTTTTTTTACCGAATTAACGAACACATTTTATTTTTATATAGAAGAAAACCGAAACACCTAGGACAAAAAGATCAAACAAAGCAACGATAATTTTTTGTCACTGCATTACACTAAAATAGAACGGGCTATAAACCCGTTTGAAGTTAAATTTGATGATTTTTTTTTTAGTTTTCTACAAAGTCTTAAACTTGGGTTTATATGGGTTTTGTTAAAGAATTATTCTTATTTGGCGCTGTAACTGGCTGTGCGATTTTGGCCGAGTTCAACAAAGCACGCCAGTCGTTTCTCTTATGTGCCAACTGATGCCAATTGGAAACGCCAAGTGAAGCGAAGTCCTTCTCCACTTGGTCTTTCCAACGCAGCGGGGGCCTCCCTCTTCCTCTGCTACCACCAGCGGATTCGGAGTTGAATACTTTTAGAGCTGGAGCGTCGGAGTCCATTCGAACGACATGGCCAAGCCAGCGGAGCCGCTGTTTGAATTCGCTGCACTATGTCCACGTCGCACAGTGGTTCGGATCGCAAATCTAGCTGGACGAAACTATTTAAACAAATACTCGTTGATGGATCTTTACACCACTTCTTACCTAGGGGATTTTTGGGTCGCTGATTACGAATCTGAAGTCACTTATCAAAAATTCAAAATGGCGGATCCAATATGGCGGACGAAAATAAAACGGTAGATTTCTATGAAACTGGCTATCTGGGGGTTTTCTGGGTTGCCGATTACGAATCTAAAGTCATTTAATTAATTTACTTTATTTACTTCGGAACGAGCATTTTCATCAGATATTTCTTTCAATTTACTAATCACATAATCACGGATACCTTGTTGTCTTTTAGAAGTTTCAGCAACACTTCTCCAAATGTCAAACAACTCACTTCTTAATTTCAGAAAAAAATGTATAACAGCGCTTACAGATTTTTATGCCTGTTGTATAATTTTTTAATTTCAGAAAGCAGAAAATTCGCGAGTTACTATTTTTTTAACTCTTACATAACCAAAGTTTTTATAACTCCAAGTATTTTCCTGTTTTAACACAACCCCTACCCCCCTTGGTTATCGATCTTACCCACTGCATTTGCGAAGGTGGCCTTTACTTTTCCTACTCTTTAATTTATTTTTTTAATTAATCAATAAATTTGCTTATACCAGTGTGGACGTAAATTGCGTTATAACCACTGAATCTATAGCGGAATAAGTGTAATTTTTTGTTTATAAAGTCAATTTGCAATTATGCAATAATCTGTGAGTGCAATTAGCAATCTTTTAAGTTAAATTTCAGCTTTTAAAATAGAGTTCTCAAATAGGCGGCATTGACTTACCTTTTTTTTGTGTTTTCATATGTTAATGCTTTAATAATTGCAATTTCTATTTGAATGTATTGTCAGGAATGTATTCCAAGTACCATTAAGTTTTTAAAAACAAAAAAAAATTTGACTTTCGTCCAGCTAGATCTGCTATCCGAACCACTGTGCGTCGTTGTAAAGCTCATACAGCATCGTTCCATCGTTTGCGGTACTCGCCATCGCCAACGCGTAAAAGCCCGTTCTTCCGCAAAATCTCGAATACTCCAAAGAGCCGCCTCATGGCTTCGCTACCGAATACACGTTTATATTGCGAGCCGCTCGCTCCAAGACAAGACACCCGCTTGTTGCCGCACCCACTGGTGACCAGACGCTGCAGACTTCATTGAGCTCTTAAACCGAAGTCGGAGTGGCCCCACTGAAGCCCCTTCTTTTTCTGTCCTGACCCAAGGCTCCACTGGGATTGGTTACCGCATGTTGTTGTTGTTGTTGTTGCAGCGGCTACAACAACCCCGCCCAGATCGGTTGGTATCTCAGTCGTTGTCAAGTTCCACTAACGGCAGCCCTAGGAAGAGCGCAGCTTTTATTGGGTTGGTCCACAAGGACAAAGCCGTTAGGGTTGTCGGGTTTTCCGGGCATGCGAAGAGATGTTTCGAGTCATGTAGGGGCTCTACGCATGCCGGACACTCATTTGGCACATCCTCATTCAATCTACTTAGGTAGGAGTTTAACCTGCTGCAGTAGCCAGAGCGGAGTTGGGCTATTGTTGTTCGTGTCTCCCGAGGCAGATGAAGCTCCGTCTCGTCGTATGTCCGGGGGCGGTATGCCTAGAACGGCATTCACAGGTTAGAGTCTACATAACTCGAGACTGACTCCCTGTGAATGCCGTTCAGGGCCAGTCGGTAAGCTGACGGGTCCAGAGGTTGCTTGATGAACCTCTGGACTTCGTCCGTCAGTTCATATAGATGCCTCCTGACGTGCCTAGGCGAGGGCTCCTCTGCAAGCAGCTGTCTGTTTGGTTGGCCACTTCTGTGGCTCCCGATCAGGAACTGCTTGCAGAGCATTATGTTGTGCTCCTTTATGGGGAGCATTTGTGCCTCGTCGTGGAGATGATGTTCGGGCGACATCAGGAGGCATCCTGTCGTTGTCCTGAGTGCGGTGTTCTGTACAGTCTGTAGCTTCGTCCACTGCGTCCTACTAGTCCCCGGCGACCACACTGGCGCTGCGTAGTTTAAAACCGGTCGGCCTACTGCCTTGTATGTTGCCAGCAACGTTTCTTTGTCTTTGCCCTAAGTACTGCCGGCTAGCGACTTGAGGACCTTGTTGCGGCTCTGTACTTTATTGACAATAGCGGTTGCGTGCGCAGAGAAGGAAAGCAGGCTGTCGAATGATACTCCGAGTATTTTGGGGTTATTCACCGTCGGAATTGGTGTGTCATCGACGTGAATTCCCAGCGGTAGCCTGACCTCCTTCGTCCAGGTTGTGAACAGGGTCGCAGAGGATTTCGTAGGGGAGAGGGCTAGACACTTTGCAGTGAAGAAGCGAGAAAGTTCGGAGAGATACCCGTTTACTTTCGAACACGGGTCATGAATCCCATTCCCCGTCGCCATGATCGAGCAGTCGTCGGCGTAAGAGACAATCGAGAATCCCTCTGGTGGCTGACGGAGGGTTGGTTACCGCATCTCACGCATTGGTTGCTCACGTTGCCCAGAGTGCGCGAACGAGGACGAAAGAGTCGGGATTTAGTATAGCCGTGTAACTGTAACTGAATACCCAGCACAACGATTATACCCCATTGCAATCCAATTACGCAAACGTCAAATTAATTAATTGATTAATTAACAGGATTAACTGTATTTTAATTGAAAAGGCTTAAGGATATGAGGTGGTATGGATTCGACAAATACAGAAATTACATATGTATATTCGGGGTCTTCATCCTTTAAAGTGAAACACTGCTGTTAAACTTGATAAAATTATAAATTTTGAACGGTCAAACTATATAGAAATCGATTTAACCTAAGTTTAAATCCCAGTAGATAATTTCAGGAGTTAAAAGCCCTTCCGAAATGCCTTCCTTTGAGTCAAGAGGCCTTCCACTCTACATTCCTTTCTCCTTAATTTTTTATATGGAGTGGCATAAATTGAAGGGCTTCTTCTTTCGCTACCCGGGGAAGGCCTTCCAGAAGGGCTTTTATAGGACGTACTTCAGAAGGCCTTTTGGGGGAGTTATTTTAAAGTTGCTTCTTTAATTTATAAAAATCATACATCTTTGAAGTATTTGCTTAAGGTTTGTATTTTAAATTGTTTATTGAAATTCATTTGTAATGCTATTTGAAAGTTAGGGGGGGGGGCGTGGGGGGCGTGCCTGGCTACGCCCATGGGCATGATCAATAGACCCACAATTTTTTATAAAAATTGTACAAAAACTATGAGAAACTTGCGCTTGAAGCTTTTACCGGTCGTACGCCCTTTTTGCAATCCAAGTATCGCCCAACTGCCGTCAGCCAGGACTCAATTTTCATATTTTTCTGAATTTTTATGTGCAACTTTCAACCATCGGGTAGAATTACTACAGTCAGAAATTTCTTCCAGATCAACAATTTTCAGGCACATTTTGTAAAAAAATTTTAATACGGATTTTGTAGAAACAAATTTGAAAAATCGCGCCTCAAGTCTTTCTTTCAGCCCAAAAAATGTATATAAAGATTTGCTGTAGAAACATTTTTAGGTCTTCAAAAGATAGCTCCAGACATTTGCTATAGACCCACAATTTTTCATAAAAATTGTACAAAAACTTCACGAGAAATTCGCGCTTGAAGCTTTTAAGACAAGAATACACCGGTCGTACGACCTTTTTGCAATCCAAGTATCGCCCAACTGCCAGCAGCCAGGACTCATTTTTCTGTATTTTTGTGCGCAACTTTCAACCATCGGGTGGGTTTACTGCAGTCAGAAATTTCTTACAGATCAACAATTTTTGGGCAGATTTTGTAAAAAATGTTTAATACACATTTCGTAGAAAAAAAAATGTGAAAAATCGCGCCTCAAGTCTTTCTTTCAGCCCAAAAAATGTATATAAAGATTTAGATGGACTAGTTTCGAGCTGGAACCACCACAAATCGAATACATATATGTATGTATGTACGTACTGCAAGATATGTACTTATTTAT